AATGTCTTGGGGATTGTCTGCTGAAGCACCAGAACGTCTGTATGTGGTGATTTGAGGGTAGTCTCTCTCCACAAGTCCAATCACCTCGCCCTCCGGTATATCGATGGGGTCCGTCTTGATTAGAAGCTTGATCCAACTACATCCCAACTCGTCCACGACTTCCTGCTTGAGCTTCTTGCTGGCGTTGAGCACAAGCTGTTTGAGTGCCCATAGTGATTCATGCCGAAGCCGAACACTGGCCGAATGGGCCTGCTCGCACAACTTCTTCACCACTGTTGATTCCCCAACGCTCTCTTTGACCGCACTGAAGTCCATAGCTAAGTTGGTCAGAACCTTGGTGGCCGCAATCCTCAGCTCTGGATTCGTCGAATTCATCAGCTTCAGAATCGGTTTGGCAACCTCTGCCTCGATGAGCTTCGTGCGTAGTGCCCGAACCGATCTTCCCAAAGCTCTTACAGCTGCGCATGCCGCCAATATCACGGATGCAGAGTTTCCTGTCATCTCGATCTCCTGGTTTGCCCCAACTTGCGCCTCATGAGGCTCCAAGGCCTGAATGATGTATGGCAAAACACCCTCATTGCAGATTCGTTCGCGGTAGTCCTCCTCGAATGGTGCAAGAGCTGCCAGCGCTTTCAGACATCCTTCTCGATATTGCATCTCCTTTCTGGCTGCCCATGTTGGCCCACCAGGACCAATGCTTCTACCTAGCATTACTGCTTCCATCTCCACCTTACCCGGTCTGTGTGGACGCCAGGGCGATAATTTGCGAGTCGCCGGGCCTTCAAAGCTTGATTTCAGACCAATGGACAGATTGACAATGGCTTTGCCTTCGACAGCCACTTTCTGCATCTCGGGATCGTCCATGATAAGCGCAGCTAGTACTGCAGGGACAGCTTGTGTGCAATGCATGCCAGAACATAGTTGCATCCTGCTGGGTTGATACGATGCGTCAAATTGCGCCAGATCTGGGTCCAGCATCCGCGTTATGAGCGGAACCAACAAGGACGAAAAAGATGAACCACGGTCCTTTTTAACGAAGTGAAGGCTGTGAAGATTGACGAGTAATCTCGCGGCTAGAAGACGGCGTCTTCCACGCGACTCTCGTACGACATATAACAGCCACGAGACGACCGCGCTCTCATCAACATCCTCGACAGTGTCTTGAGTCAGATTCAGGCTTGGCACCCCCGTCGTCGTTGGGAGAAAGGATGGTCGGCGCTTGGGCATAGCCGTGACCGAGCTTAGTGGAGGGAAGCCGGGCTGAGCAGCGTTGGTCTTTTCAGATATTGGTGCAACCGGGAGAAGGGAATCGAAAGGCCCATGTAAGCGTGAGCGCGGGACTGCAGCGCCAGAAAAATAGCTGGCTCCCCATGGCGCGCGTCGAATATCCGAGGGTGAGAAGTCGTCCCTAAGGTCGGGGAGCACAGTCCTCATAGTAGGATCTGTCAAGAAAGCCTTCGTCCGTGCTTTGGAGCCCTCTATCAACACACATAGCGCCTCCAAAACCGGGGAAAGGTGTGCAGTCGGTGGCGCTGGCTCGGGGAGACCAGTCGGAATACTACCATCGCCATCGAAAAGCTCTAAGCGAGGTGGAACGAGCCCTTCTGCGACCACAAACGATGCCAACCGGGACGAAAGCAAGGTCAAGACACCAGTTTCGCTCAACGCACGTTTCTGCGCCTCGAGCGTCAAGGTCTTACACAGAAGAGCCAGAACAGCATCACATGCCTGTTGAGATGTCAGGGTGAGATTAGCACCTCCAATTATGTTTCCAAAGCATTGTATATATCTCTTTGAATACAGTAGATCGGCAAGTTTCGAACTTTGCGGCCAATTACCCAGGGACGCGGGAGGCAGGTTATCAGCGACGGCATTCAGACACTTGAGGATCGCAAGAAGGGTTCTTGGGGCGAGTCGTCGAAGAAGGAATGACACCAGTCTTTGCAAGACATCGGTTTCAAGCAATGGTTGTACAAAAGAGGGTCCCTCTGTTGTTCAGCAGGATTAGTATTGCATAAGGCAGGCGAAAGATAGGGCGCTCTGACCGTGGGCAATGACACAAAGGATCTGGGCAGCCTGGGTAGTCACCAACTCCACCTCCTCGGGATGTGCGTCGCCTGCATTCAGAGTGGCCAGCTGAGCAGCTGCATCGGCCAAAATCTTCGCGAGCTGGGGAATGAAGCCATTCTGGATGTATTCGACTTTGCGCGAGACGTGCCCCGTCAGGTCGTATTTGATTCTTTTCAAGGCTTGCAACTGGGCTGAAAACTGGTCTGCAGCAGCGAGATCCTGCAACGCAGATCTTGCAAGCCCGAGCGATGCCATGCGATGGAGAAGAAGGACATGAACAACAGGGCCGTCAGCTGCTGAGGACTCGGTATACTTGCAATCAGCCACGCGAGCAACAACTTCTGACGGGACAGGTGTTGTCGTAAGGTTAGGGGCGAATGTGTGGGGGACGGTGTGGCAGAAATCGTTTGGATCGGATGAGGTTTCCTGGAAGCGGAGAAAGGCTGAGGAGGTAATTGGCGACCAGGACCGACTTATACTCTGGCCAGTCCGAGGATGGCGAGAAGGAAAAGTGATCTCCCTGACACCCACTGACACAATAGAATCTCAACGGTTTAATATTCCGGATCGGATGTGTTGGTGCACATCCTTCGACTTTACAAGAAGGAGGGAAAAAACCTCAGTCTGACGGGGTGGCCTAGCTGCAGAGGCTTCAAGGGCTATAGCGGCACGAAAGGCGAGCCTCGGTCAGACGGGCCCAATTTTACGCAAATGAACTGCACCCATCATTGGTACAGGCCACTAGCCCTCCAAGCAGGCCCTGGTGCCCTAGCACCCTAGTCAGTGCCTAGCGAAGTGCCCCGAAAGGTTTCCCGGGCTGGGAAAATCTGGACAAATGCGCTTCTTTGGCCTCGCCTCGTGCCAACGCCGATCTCTTGCTGGGTTCCCATCATTCCATGAGCTGATCCCCCCATTTGCCCATAGTCTCAGATACAGTTTTGTTATATTAATTCCCACACATGCACTTCGCCCGCATCATTCTTCGTCCTCTTCCACCCCGAAATAGACTTATTCTCAAGCTATATGGTTATTTAAAAGTTTTCTACCTTGACCTCATGCACTCCCAGACTCTCGAACCCAACGCCCATTGTTTCTCGCAGCCTCTGCTCTCGGCACCCTCGCCGCCGCCGCACTCTTGACTGACTTCCGGTGGCTAACCCATGCGATACATCATATGCACATGAACAACAGCTCGCAGCGACGGGCTCCCCTTCCGATGTTGAGCTTCTTTGAATATGCTAGCAACATCCCCATCCCCTAATCTCCCACCGACAACCGCCCGCAACTCGGGTGTTAGTGTCTACTCCTCCTCGAGTCGATCACAGCATGATCACTCGATGATCAAGCCTGTCCACCCTCGAACTGCCACCGTCGAACAGGCCAATACCACCCGAAAACGCCCTCCCTCCTACGATCTGGACTTTCCGAAGCCCCGCAGGATACCCAGCACGCGGTCTCTCGATCGCTACAAATACTCCCCTCGGCCTCAGCCCCGCGTGAAGATGGTTGATGCCGCTACACAATACTCACCTCCAAACGAACAGAAAGCTGAAAAGACCCCAACCAGTACCATTGCAGGCCTGCAACTATCCGAAGGCGAGGACCAACCAGCCAAGACAGCTCCCCTCCCCTCAGCCGCGAAGAGACGTGATGGCACAGCTGTAAATCTCCCCAAGTCGGAGGGCGGTACAAATTCAGGCCAGACCAAGAGGGTGGCCGCTGAAGCCCCTCCTGAACCTGAAATCCACGCAAACGGACCCGAGTCAGAAGAGACGCAGAGCGCACAACACTCTCCAGTGAAAAAGGCACGTCCGGATGCCCCACCTGTGCGAATCATGCCACTGCGATATGAGACTTGTAACACGCGGGATTTGGTGGTGTTAATATCCTCAATGCTCATGGAGCTCATCCGCTACAACGACGCAATTCCGCTACGAGAAGGCCAGCTCACCCGATTTCACTCACGAGCCCCTCCGGGCATCTCAGTTTTGGACTATCTCCAACGCTTGACGACTCACGCTACTTTATCTCCTCCTATATTGCTGAGCGTCGTCTACTATATCGACCGTCTATGTGCGCTTTATCCGGCTTTCACCATCAGTTCCCTCACCGTACATCGATTCCTCATCACGAGCGCCACGGTCGCGAGCAAAGGCCTGAGCGACTCTTTCTGGACTAACAAGACATATGCCCGGGTGGGAGGTGTGAGTATGAAGGAACTTGCGCTGCTCGAACTGGAGTTTCTCACTAGAATGGAGTGGCGCATCGTACCGAAACCAGAGGTCTTGGTGGATTACTATAAGTCGCTGATTGCGAGAAATTCTCAGTATCAGCTCGAAGATACATAGTATCAACGTGTCTGACGTTGAAAACATTTTACTATCCGCATGACTTCTCCTTTCTCTTGTGTAGCTAGCTAACAGACAGCTGGGATCTCTAAGCCGGAGGACCACAATATACCAAAAAAGGAGAGGGAAGTCACAGGAAATCTACGATAATTGGATATGGTATTCGAAACCGAACAGAAAACCCAGATTTTGGACGGCCGTTAATGTCATTGAATTAGAAAAAAGACGTAACTTCATAATCCCCACCTAAGAATCCAAAGCTTTTTGAGTCTTTTGCCGCTGGGTGCGCCATAAAAGTACATGGCATTGCAAAGGTCGTGTGGCTGCTTGCCCCCAAATCACAAAGTAGATTGATCGCTGCTAGTATACAAGATTGACCCTGCGAGAAAGTAGATATGACGGACAAACCAGGACGCCTCTTGTGACCGATGTCTTCATTACCTTGCTCTCATCCCAAGTCCCAGGATGACACAGCTCTCTGGCTGGCAAGGATACGGCATCGGATGCAAGGAAGCATTCATAGCAAATACCTGTTGGAGCAAGGGATAATAGGCCCGGCTCCTCCCACGAAAACCCTAGGATTCAGAAGGAAACCGAAGCCTGTCTCTTCTCGCTCTCTCGCAACCTCTCTTCTTCTCGCTTCTTCTTCTTCTTCTTCTTCTTCTTCTTCTCCTCCTCTTCGTGCAAGCGCCTCCTTTCTTCCATGACAAACGATTTAATGTCTCGGAAGTCAATGTGCCACGAACGATTTTCTGTTTTGTTGTTGCGAGGCGTCGAATCCAGATATATGAAGTGACGATGGTTATGGGAGTTCCCTGCTGCCCACGCGACAAACCATTCTAGTAGCAGCTTGTCCCGCGCCTTCAAGGACTCTTTATCGAACTCAGCGTCGTTCCAAGTCCCAGGGCCGGGTAATGCCGACGGTGACTGGATGAGTTCGAAACTCCGGTCCCAGGGTTGAGAATGAGTAAATTCATCAGGGTTGGGAATCTGGCTGTTCCATGAGGCGTGCGAGGATCGCAAGTTTAGTCGATTTACGGATCCAATGATGCCATCATACCTAGAGAGGGTCAGCCCCGCGAATGGTTTGTAAGAGGGAAATCAACTACTTTGGTTCAAGTCCAGGGGATTCGTTTCTCTTCCGCAAGAGCCAGCCAGAAATGTCTGGGGGTAAGCCGAGCCTCCAACTTAACGGTCTGTTCCCTGATTGCTCTTCGAACCAGCGCATTATCCACGTCACCTCTTCCGGATGGCAAACCAGGGCGTCTTCCGTGATACACAAGGCCGTTCCTCGTGGGAAGAGCCTCCTCAGAGGACTTCGCTGTTTGGCTTCGGCGTTTTCCAGTTGGAGACCTGGCAACGGGGACGAGAACAAGAGCTCATGACAGAAAACATATTGACATCGGAGGACTTTGAAGAACTCGAAAAGATCGCAATATGCTCTGTGCCGCTCGTGGAATAGTATAGCGGCAATCTCGTCGGAAAGGCCATCCCGAAACTCCTCCCAGTCGTCCTTCGCTGTGTCAATGAAAATCCGACGCGGATTCAAATGTTGCTGTAGCCATTGTTTGACAGCTTCGGCTTCGACCGGGTTCGATCCCCCAAAGCAGATCATTACCCGTGCTTTGCGCCCAGATTTCTTCACGTTAACGTCGCCAAACAACTGTGCAAAATCCGCTGAAAACGACAGTCGCCCTGGTGCGGGTTTGATGAGAGCGTTTTCTTCCGGATGTACAGATGCGTCTTGCGCGGGACTTTCACCTTCCCTTCGCGTTGGTGTTGCTGATTTCGGTGCTGGCGTTGGAGCTTTGACTGGGCTCTGTATATAAGAATCCACTAAACCTGTGTGCTCCTTTGCCGGCGTTGTCATCGGTGTTGTTGTTGTTACGACCTGTTCCGCTGGCGTCTGTGTGTCCACGCCTGCATTCTCTCTTGTGGAGAGTCGAAGTGCAGGCTGTGAGGATTTGGGCTTGTCTATTGGTAAATTTGTATCTCGTTCGGCATTCAAGCGTGGGACATACTCGGTCCTTGCTGAACCGGTCTCCATAGAGAACCCAGCAAGCTTATTTCGCACAACAACTTTCAGAGGGAATGCAGACTTGCCGACGGGCCCTTCATCAATACCTGCCCATCTAGGAGGTGGACTCGAGTACATAATCAGGATAAGGGTATCCCCAGGTGTAGGATATTCCCAGACGGCAACCAAGTCGTTGTCCTTCAAGTGCTTGCCTAGCTGTTCTATATCTCGTTGTTTCGCACCATCACCCCGGATCGAGAACGTCCCATGTTGTTTCCAATGCAGCTTCGAGTGTTAGTATGGGGAACAGTTCAATGACAAAGTAACTTACATACCCTTGTAGTGAAGTCAGAAAAACCTCTTGCCTTCATAACGAACTTGTTCTTGAACTCCATGGTCAATAAGTGTTCCTGCCAGTCTCTTGCGACACCCCGAAGTTTGTGAAGTTTGTTAATCAACCACCCCGGCATCCCAACCAAACTCACAACACCCACGACAAGCCCCCCAAAGCGAAGGGATATCTTAAGTTCGGACATCGTTCCGTGATCTGTGCCACTTGAGGGCATTCGGCCAAGGCTGGAAGTCATGGGCTCTTTGGAAGGACCATGGTTGTAAGAAACATCCTGGGATTGTTGTTGAACCGTTGACATGCTAATGGATGTTGGGGCCTTGACCGGGGCATCAGACCTAACCGCCTGAGAAGAGGTTGCACAATTCGTGCGAGGCCGTGACGGCGACGGCCGTCTCTCTGCAAATGCGTTCGTTGACGGCCCAGGCGGTGTCAAACCGCGTGACTTGGTCCTGACACTGGAAGGTTGCGTCTCAGTCAAGATATCTTTTCGAGACTGCCTCGACGAGCCCTGATTCACATGAGGATGCTGCGGTGTCGAGGGTGCCGTTGAACTGCTGAGTGACGCTGCCATGGCCTGTGGTGATTGACCGCTAGGCAGGTATTGATTAGGGCCCGTAGCATTCCCTTTTCTCGTCTGCTGATCTTCGGCCTGGGGCAGCACAACGTTATTGTCCTCTGGAAGAAAAAGAGGTGAATTATCCCGTTTATGTCTTGGAGCATCGTCTTGAATTTTCAATGAGGGTTCAATTCGTCCGGGTAGGGGCCATGCATCAGCTTCTATGAGATCGAGCTTAGAGATGTCTGGTGTACGTTCTCGGCGTGCCATTTTGGTATAATTATGCATGTGTCTCATACTTTTGAACCTCTTCCCTGCCTTGCCGTGTTCCGCATTTGCAGCTAATGGTGATGCATGGGTATTGCCTAGCTTCTTCCTAACAGTCATTGTATTTGCTCCTCCTTGCTTATTGTGTTGGGGTCCGAGGGTTGGGTTGACAATTGTTTTTGTCTTATTAGGTGCTGCTGGACTCATCTGAACATACGCTTCAGTCCGGTGTGCGTCGGAGCTTCGGTGTGGAACAGTGTCGCCATGCGCCAGCGCCAGGGGAGAAGGCGGCGAATTGGGATTTCTCAAGTCGCCCGTTGTTGCTAGAGGTATAGCTGCTTTTTCTTGGCTTAATGTTGACTGGGCGGAGGCTGCGTCCTTCTCTGTAGAATTTTGTGGATGTCGCCGCTGCGCAGGAGTTGCATCTACCACTTCGGAGCCCTGTGAAGCTTCGTCCTTGATAGTTGGCGAACGAGATGCTCGTGGTCGCTTGCGTCCTGGTTGGTCTGCGGGGTTCGGATGAGACGATCGTGATCTTTTCGCTGAAGATGGAGACTCTGGCGACTCAGATTTTGGCGTCCGACTGGATGATCGTCTGGATAAAGTCCGCTTGGACATACGCCTCAGTGCCTCCTGTCGCTTCTTTCGTGCTGTTGCGTCTTGAAAATCCTTCATTCGCGCTTGAACCATAGCAAGCTCTTCTTCGTCCAGGAAATCCTGAGCCGCGCGCTGGCGCTCCCAATCGTCCAAGGTTCTCTGGTCCGTAAAATGCTCGGCGGGTTCCCAAGTACATTCCTCGTCACCATACCCTTCCCATTTGACGAGAAATAGAGGTTTGCCTGTTCGGTCGTCCTGGTAGAGAATCCTCTCGACTATGTACTCTGGCTCCTCAACCGTCGTGGTTACACCATCGCTGGCATCGGACATCTTGACCTACCGTCCGCGGCGCTGAAATGCGACAGTATGTCAATTTATATGAATTTTGGACTATAAGTCAGTTATGAATTCCGAGCAGAGACCTGTGCAAAACACGATGACGGGTTTTCCTGGGCAGCGAAAATTAGCAGATGCTTTCATGACCATTTCAGCGTCAGTCTAGAGTGGCGAGCGGAGATGGAGCCAGGAACGATTGGGACCACAATGAAGCAGCGTTAGTACCGTTGACAGTGTGTGCGTATGGCAAGTGGTCAGATTCCATGCCTGATCACGTGTGTGCCAAGATAAGTTCCAGGCTGCGCCCTGTTGATTGTCCTCCCAACCCATCATCCAACTTCCGTGTGGGCCTCAATAACACCACTTTCAGTCGGATTCAAGGCCGATAACAAGAGTCTCAATCGCCTGTCAGTGCGTCAATCACGTACTGAACACGACTGAGTCTTCCATTACAGCCCCTGATCTTTTAGTGTCTGATCGCGGGTCGCCCCAAACACCGCTGATCATGGCCAACGACGAGTACGACTTTCTCTTCAAGGTCGTTCTGATCGGAGACTCAGGCGTCGGTAAATCGAACTTGCTGAGTCGTTTCACTCGCAACGAATTCAACCTTGACTCGAAATCCACCATCGGGGTCGAGTTTGCAACCAGATCCATCCAAGTTGATACAAAGACCATCAAGGCACAAATTTGGGACACCGCAGGACAGGAGAGATATCGTGCCATCACGTCTGCCTACTACCGAGGAGCAGTCGGCGCCCTCCTCGTCTACGATATTAGCAAACATCAAACCTATGACAATGTTACGAGATGGTTGAAAGAGCTGCGGGATCATGCGGATGCCAACATTGTCATAATGCTGGTCGGGAATAAGAGTGATCTACGGCACCTACGGGCTGTCCCTACAGAAGAAGCCAAACAATTTGCCAGTGGGTGTCCTTTCGGTTCCGTGGCTAAGTCCATTCCACTGATCTGGTCGCAGGTGAAAACAATCTCTCATTCATTGAGACCTCTGCGCTGGATGCCAGCAACGTCGAACTGGCGTTCCAGAATATCCTGACAGGTGAGGTCCGGTAGCAAGGCTCTGACCGCTGGTGCTGACTTTTGGGAAGAAATCTACCGCATCGTTTCGAGTAAAGCCCTCGACAGTGGCGATGCAGCGCAGGCACCAACTGGCGGTGTGAAGATCGACATGACCCCTTCGGGTGCTCCAGATGCCAAAGGCAACAAGTGCTGTTAAACATATCAGTACAAACATCAGTGATTATCAGGAGCTCGGCGTTTTCATACTTGCGCATGACCTGGGTGACGATGGATTGAATGTGATCATGATTCATACGGTTCGTCGGTGGGCTACAGTGGTTTGGGTCACACGGGACAGTTGCATTTCTTTGCTCTGTTCTGTAATCGAAGACTACCTCTCAAGGTTTCCATTCGTACTCTTCGCGTTTCACAGGGAGTGACATGTCGCAGGATGATACAAAGATACTGCACAGGCAGAATTGGTCTGCTCGAAGTGTACTCAGTAGAGATCAATGGTTGTTTTACGTTAGCACAACATCCCCGTAGCCGCAAAGGAACCGAAATGCCGAGCTGTGATCCAACGAACTTTCAATGTTGCCAGCGTCGGCCGTGGTCAACGATATTCCTGGGAGGAGTGCAAGCCATCTCAGGCACATTTCTTCCATTGCAACCGCGCTGCGAATTTTGATGTTGCACAATAGCGACTCGTGGTTTACCTCATGCTCGGTGAATGTGGGCTTGGTCCACTGCTGGTGAGCTTGGTCCTTCAGACGTTCGCCACGCTCACGACTAAAGGTTGGAATGGATCCCTCTGATCTCTGGGCCACGTGAGGCCATGGACGATCTGTAAGGAGTGCGTGCCCTCCGACTCAGTCTGCTTTTCGAGGTGGCAGTGCCATGGAAACGGTCAATTTCGACAAGTCAGGTCAGGCACGTGAGAAGAAGTGTTGCGTCTGCGTCTCAGCTCAGCACACTCTGGCGAGGTCGTCTTCTGCGCATGCAACCCGCCAGATGTGGATGTCAGGCTTTCGCCTCGGTGATCGTTTCTGTACATACCACCTGCGAGTGGTGTGGCCGATGACTCAGCTCTGTTTACAGTGAGACTGACCATCCAATCATTGCTGTCGGGCATACGTCCTGTACATGGTTGCTGACTGCTTCCTTCCGCTGACCTTCTAGCGAGAGGAGGGGCGGAAACGCGCATTTCTGTGCCAAGAGGAATGAGAGGCTGATCTACGCCAAGCTCGGAGCGGACATACCGGACATATCTCTATCAAGTCACCAAAGACCCAGGCTTGTCAGCCGTCAGGATACGCGATGCCACCAGATGCTTTCCCCCTCGAAAGCTTCTCTATCTGAGCCCCTCCCCAAGACAGATGGAGACCGAGACACCCGTTGTTGCGGGGTTGGAGCACCCGGCGACCATTCTCTTTACCGAGTTCTTTGGAACATGCGTCCTTGTCCTCCCTCAGGCTTCCCTCCTACCGCGAGGGGGATGCCCTATCACGCCAAGTCATTCCGGCGAGCCTGCTCTTGCCTCGCCTGAGTCATGTTTTGTCATGTAACCTGGCGTCTCTGGCCCCTGTTCTGAGCGGAATGTTTGTCAGCACGGTCCTTTCACACCAACTAGTCCTGATGGAGTCGGCGAGAGAAGTGCGGGGAAGTGGAGCAGCATGAGTATCCTCCCCCCCCCCCCGGATGGAGGCAAGGCTATACCACTGAGCAATAGGACACCCCCTGCCCCGGGTCATGGGATTACTCCGCAATGGCTGTATTTATCCTCGGCTGTGCCCGCTGTTGAGACGATTCAGATAAATTCGGTGCTCCCAGGCGAGTCAGGTATCTTGTTCCACATATTTTTTGCCATTATACGCAGGAGATTGACCCTGACTCTTGACGCTTCCATCCAGACATCTTTTCACTACTATAGAACAAGAATCATGGCAGCGGCCAATACGAACGCCACCGAGACGACAGGTGACGCGGGGGTCGACTACGATGTGCTGGTCATCGGCGCAGGGTTTGGTGGCATCCGCATGCTTCACGAACTGGGCAAACGTGGTCTGTCCGCCAAAGCATTCGAAGCAGGATCTGGCGTCGGCGGCACATGGTACTGGAACAGGTACCCCGGGGCCAGGACGGACAGCGAAAGCTGGGTGTATATCATCACCTTCTTGGAAGAGTTGGGCCTGGACTGGGACTGGAAGGAGCGCTTTCCCACCCAGCCCGAGGTGGAGGTTTATCTCAACCGAGTCACCGACCATCTCGGTCTGCGCAAGAAGATCGAATTCAACACAAAGGTCACGGCAGCTCATTGGGATGAGGCCAAGAACGTGTGGAGGGTCACGACATCAAAGGGCGACACATACACTTCCACCTACTTGGTAACCGCGACGGGGCCCCTCGCCACTCCACTGAAGCCTCCTTTCCCCGGGCTCGAATCGTTCAAAGGCGAATGGTACCAGACGGGGCTCTGGCCGAAACACAAAGTCGACTTCACGGGCAAACGTGTGGCTGTCGTGGGCACCGGCGCCACCGCGGTCCAGGTCATTCCCATTGTCGCGCACAACGCCAAATCTCTGACGGTCTTCCAACGCACGCCCAATTATGTGCTCCCATCGCGCAATTATCCACTTACCCAGGATCAGCAGGTCGCGCTGAGACGTGAATATGAAACGGTGGTGAACCGGGCCAGAAAACAAAGTTTCGGGATGGACTTTGTCGACGCCACGCTCAAGTCCACCGATCTGGCGACCGAGGCCGAGATGCAGAGGGTGCTGGATTACGGCTGGGAAATTGGTGGATTTCGATTCATCTTCGAAACATTTGCCGACATGCTGACCGATCCCAAGTGTAACGAAATGGCAGCCGAGTTCGTCCGCAACAAGATTCGATCAATTGTCAAGGACAAAGAAACCGCAGAGCTGCTGTGTCCGCATTACACTATTCTATCGAAGCGGCCTCCCCTTGGCCACTTCTACTACGAGACCTTCAATCGAGACAATGTTCACCTGGTTGATGTCAAGAACGACCCGATCCAGGAGATCACTCCAACTGGCCTGCGCACCGGCACAAAGGAGTTTGAATTCGACATGATCATCTTCGCCGTGGGCTTCGACGCCATCACTGGAACGCTGGCGCAAATCGACCTGCGCGGCAGCCAGCACCAGCAGCTCGCGGAACAGTTGAACAAGGACATGGCCACCGCCTACGGTATCACCACGCCGGGCTTCCCCAACCTGTTCATGGTGTCCGGGCCCCAGGCACCGTTTGCGAACATCCCAATCATCATCGACAACACCGTCGACTGGATCGGCAAGACGCTCTCCTTTATGCGGTCGCATGGCTACGAGCGCATCGAAACGAAGGAGGACTCGGCGAGGCACTGGACCGAGCAGGTGGAAGCCGTCTTCAACGCCACGGTCCTACCCGAGGGCGCAAAGGAAACCCGCTCGTGGTACGTGGGTGCGAATCTCGAGGGCAAGACGGTGCGGCCGTTGTTCTGGTTCGGTGGCGTTGCGCCCTATTTCGCCATCTGCGACAAGGAAATCAGCGACGGATATCCTGGGTTTGAGTTTTCAACCCCAGAGCAAACGGGTCGAGCCAGGCTTTAGATCACAATTGCCATCACTGGCAACGTGCAAAGAATGACGCTGTCCCCATGACAAAGTGTTCACTGGGAAATTTCACGATCCGAGGAACGATTGATGCCAGAGAGTTGGCCATGTATTACGCCAGAGATAGTCAATATACGGAGGCGGGTTGGAAAGATCTCTGTCAATCTCGTATACCAGCTTTACATGAACTTTGTAGCATTGAAGACTTGTTGTCTGATCGAACAAATTGATTCTTCTCGTAGTATTGGATATATATATGGCATTCTTTTCCCTGGTCTTTCAGAGGTCGACATTGCGAATTACACAACTCAATTTTTGCGTCTGTGTTGTCCTCTCAAGCTGTACGGTCTAAAC